CGCACGTCAGAGTACACATCACGGCACCGGCAACATTCAGGAGAGGAAAAAACACACAGACACAATTTATCGTCGATTCCCAGGAAAATACGGGAAAATATGGGAAGTGGGGGGGAAGACAAAACCCTAAAAATATTGGAAAATTTGGGGAATATTTTTATTTGTGTGTCCTGGGGCCCCTTCAAACATGCCCACGCGAGGAGCTGGCGCGCTCAGGCCACGGGGGGCCGGCCTGGCAGCAGCGCCCAGGCGACGCGCAAGAACGGCCCGTCGCAGCAGTGACCTCTCGTGCGGCCCACGGGGGTCACATAGCACTGCGGTCAGGCAGTTTGGGTTATCGTCGCTCCGCAGGTTCTGGCCCACCGCGCCTCGGAGCGGCACGCTATCCTCAAGTCGGGCCTGTCCCCCTACAGGGGGATTTCCGACGAAAAATTAACAATACCCCAAAAAATATTCCAAAAATAGTCCAAAAATAGTCCGGGGACTATTTTTTAAACATTTTTTGACCTTTTTGGGGTATTTTTGGGGTACTGTTTATTTTCCGTCGAAAACTCCCCTGTGGGGGGACAGGCCCGACTTAACGCTATCCTGGCAAGGCCCGATCCTGGCAAGGCCCATCCTTGGACCCAGGATCGGCGCACATGCCGTCCTGGCCAGGGCAGGAGGGCGTATGCACCGATCCTGGGCTCGGGATGGGCCTGGCCAGAATCGGTGTATGTGTATAGGTTCTTTTTCCTCCAACCGCGCCTCGGAGCGGCACGCTCTCCGCGCCCCAGCCCTCGGGCGTCCGCGGCCCGGGCTGTACCGCGCCGTGGCCCGCGCCTCCGCGCAGCGGAGCGAGGCGCGATGTGCCTGCCACTCGCAGCGCTTCGTTGGGGCCGCCGCCGCGGCACGCCGTGCTTAAGTCGGGCCTGTCCCCCTACAGGGGGGGGATTTTCGACGAAAAATAATATATACCCCCAAAATAGTCCAACAAGGTCAACAAATACTAAAACAATAGCCCCCAGACTATTTTTTGATGATTTTTTGAATATTGTTGGGGTGTTTTTAATTTTTCGTCGGAAATCCCCTGTAGGGGGACAGGCCCGACTTAACGCTATGCTGAGGTTCTTGTCTGGAGTTTGCGCGCTGCGATTCTGCCCCTCAGCGCGCCCTCAGAGCCGCGCACAAAAGGCCACTCTTGCCGCGCAAGAGGCCGCGCAGAATCCTGTGCGTGGCCGAGCAAAAGTGCACGAACTCCTCGCGCAGGTCCAGTTGGAGCGTATCGATTCCCGATCCTCGATCTTCCTCCCCCCTGCGTCGCTCCGCCCTCGCTCCCTCGTCGCTTCCCGCGGATGGGGGCCAGCGGACAACGCGATCATGCGGCAGGCGCAGTGGGAAATGCCAGCAGCTCCTGCCAGCGGCTACGCGACACGGCACCGTCACTATGGGTTGGGCTTCCTCAAACAGTTGCGGGGTATTCCTGGGCATCGTCGTCGCCATCGTCGTCATCGCCGTCGCCATCGCCATCGCTGCCGCCATCATCACCATCATGACCATGACCACGACCATGACCATGACCATGACCATGATGATGATGATGCTGCTGATGATGATGATGATGATCATCATCATCATCATGACCGTGATCATGCATATCATCATTGTCATCACCATTGCCATCACAATCACCATCACTATCGCCATTACCATAATTATCGCCAGCACCGTCACCATTACCATGACCGTCACCATTGCCATCATCCTCACCACCATCATCACTACCATCACCAGCACCATCATCATCACCATCATTAACACTATCATCATCATCGTCATCATCATCGTCATCGTCATCGTCATCGTCATCGTCATCGTCATCGTCATCGTCATCGTCATCGTCATCGTCATCATCCCCGTCATCAGCATCATGATCATCATCATCGTCATCATCATCATCAACAACAACATCATCATCACTGTTGCCATCGCCATCACCATCACCATCATCACCATCATCACCATCACCACCATCACCTTCGTCATATGCAGCATCATAAGCACCATCGTTATCATCATGCTTATCATTCTTGCCAGCGCCATCCCCATCGACATCGTTATCGCCATTACTATCGCCATCGCCATCGCCATCGAATGGTGCTGGACGTGACTTTTCACGTCCTCGGAGCGTCCAGGATGCACCCGGTGGACTGCAAGAAGTATGTTCCCCAGCGTTTCTGAGCTTGCGGGAACGCGTGTCTTCGGACCATCGTGCGCGACGCTTCGTTGGCTCCAGCGCTGTCGTCGTCGTCGTCGTCGTCGTTGTCGTCGTCGACTTCGCCGCCGTCGTCGTCGCCGTCGTCGCCGTCGTCGTCGTCGTCGTCGTCGTCGTCGTCGTCGTCGTCGTCGTCGTCGTCGTCGTAGTCGTCGTCTTGGCGTCGTCGTTGTCGTCGTCGTCGTCGTCGTCATTCCATGCTGTAGCTATTCTAGGTCAAGTTGCCCAGCGTGGGCCCTCGGAGGGCGCGCCCAGGCTTGGCCAGCCATCGACGCGAACACGTGCCCCCTCTTACCTTATGTCGGGCGTGTCCCCCTACATGAGGATTTTCGATGAAAAATAAAAAATATTTAAAAATAGCCCAAAAAGGTAAAAAAAGGTGCAAAAAATTGTCCCCAGACATTGTTTGATAATTTTTTGTTTATTTTTCGGGGTATTTCTTATTTTTCGTCGAAAATCCCCCTGTAGGGGGACAGGCCCGACTTGACTCTTACCCCGAGGCCCCGACGGCGACCTCTCCAGGATCGTCTGTACTCTCAGGTCGCATAGCAAGGTTGAACAGCTTTCCAGGGCTGCCCTTGCACCTTTGCCCCTCGGGCCCGTCCTCGGCGGCCTTCGCCGGCCAGCCCTGTTCGAGAGCGCCAGACTGGCCCTCCACGGCCCCTGCACCGCTGCCGCGCGCTCCTGTGGTGCGACTTGACTGTATATCCTGGAGGGAACAAGAGGCATAACCATATTCTCCAGATTTCGTAATAGAAGGGAGGGGGTCTGGACCCTTCAAGACAAGCCATTTCAGCCCTCCCCCGTGGGAGAACCCTCCAAAACATCGTCCCCAGACCCCCCAGGCCCTCCAAGATAGCCTGGAAGAGACCCCCCCGCCGAAATGAGACCCCCTCCCTTTTATTACGGAATCTGGAGTACACTTTTTCGAGCTGCGCGCGCAGTTCTTGGATCGGCGCTGGGGCCCCCCCGGGCGGCGCCTCCGCGCCAGCCCTGGCGCACGCCGCGCTCCCGGGAGGGGGGCGCCGCGCAGGTCGCAGCAGGCTGCGCGGGCCCCCGAGCGCGTGTAGAGCTACGGGGGACGCCCCTGCCGAGAAGCACCCCGCCTGCCTCCAGGGTGCCCAGCCACGCGCAGAGGGGGGAGGGGTGAGGGGGGAGGGCTTCTTAAAAGCACCCCTGCTTCTTAGAAGGCGCGGGGCTTATCGATAGATGTAAGGCCGGTGCCTTCTAAGAAGCAGCCTCCTTCCAAGAAGCCCTCCCCCCTCCCTCCACCCCCTTGTGCGCGCCGCCAAGGTGCCCCGGGTGGCCTGGGCTTCGACGGTATCGCCGTGGAGAGCGTGGCGCTCCCACACTCAAAAGTCAATATGGGCACCCTGGGGTTTCAGGGCTGGGTTTCTGGTGGAGGGTGTTTCTTGTGGTCGAGCTCCTGTCGCATGCTGTTCTCTTCTCCTCCCGTACTGCTTGGCCTCCTTAGCGTTACGTCGGGCACGTCCGCCTACAGGAGGAACACAAAGAAATAGTAAAACAGATAGTCAGGGGACGATTTTCCCACCACGTTTGGCTGTTTTTGATTTTTTTGGGGAGCGAGTATTTTTGAACTTTTCATCCAAAATCCGCCCGTGGGGGGACGCGCCCGACCTAACCTCAGCGAAGCCGCCGTCTTGGCGGGCCGTTGCTCGCCGCGGCGTCGGCGCGGTGCGGTGCCCCGCCAGGCGGCCCCTCGCGCAGCGGGGCCGCAGGAGAGGGCGCTCCCGAGGGCCCCTCCGCGCAGCAGGCCTCCCGGGCCAGGGGCGAAGTCGGGCAGGTCCCGATGCAGGAGGTCTATTCGAAAGTAGCAAAGCAATAGTCTGTGCGCGAGTTTCTGACCATTCTTCGCTATGTTGGGGCATTTTTTTGGGGGGGGCAATTTTGTCATGTCATTTTTCCTCCAAAGCCCGCCTGTATCGGATATAGCCAGGAGCCCAGGTGAGGGGACCCGGTTAGTGGTAGGGCCCCGGAGCTCCTCAATTGGCCAGGATCACTAAACCAGGTTTGCCGTAATTGGTGTTTTTTCGGGTGACGGCAGTTCCGGTTAGTGGAACGGGGCGGGGGGGTCGTCCCCCTGGACGCATCAGTAGACCAGTTCCCACTAAACCCAGTTCTGCCAACGCCCGACTGTAGGAGGACATGCCCGACCTGAGGGCCAGGGTGAAGTCGGGCACGTCCCGACACAGGAGGCGCACGGAAGAATGATCGAACGACAGCGTGGGGACGATCTGTCAACCATTTCGGGCCACTTCTGGGCATTTCTGTTGCTGGGGCTACTTTTTGGTTGTCCTCTCAGGATCCGTCCGTAGGTTGACGCACCAGACCGAAGGCCAGGGCTACTTTTTGGTCGTTCTCTCCGAATTTTTTTCGGATATTTCTCTTGCTGGAGCTACTTCTGGATATTTTTCTTGCTGGGGCTACTTTTTGGTCGTTCTCTCCGAATCCGTCCGTAGGGGGGCGCGCCAGACCGAAGGCCAGGGCGCCACCGTCGCTTCCGCCGGAGCGCCGCGCCCCTGCCCTGGCCGAGCGGGGGGCGGCGAGGCGGAGCCACTCGCCTCCACTGGGGCGTCGTGCCGCCCAGCCCAGGGAGAGCATAAGCGAAGCGGCCGTGGCGGGCAATGTCTACATCCACATCCAGTCTCCTCCTCCTCCTCCTCCTCCTCCTCCTCCTCCTCCTCCTCCTCCTCCTCCTCCTCCTCCTCCTCCTCCCCCTCCCCCTAGCGCCAGCTCGGATCTGGCCGTCGCCTGGGCGGGGTCAGCGAGCCCGCGCCAGGCGACCCCTGGGCCGCTGCCCTCCCCGCCCGTCCTCTCGTCCGCTCTCCTCGTCTCCACCCCCCGGGCCGCGGAATGGTGGCGCCGCCATGGTGCCCGACGGAGGGGCGCCCGCAGCGCCCCCGCCGGACGGCTGCCGAGCGGCGTGCCCAGGCGGGCCGCGCGCAGGCTCGGGCCGTTCAGGCTTTGCTGCGCGCCTTCAGCGGCATGGAGCACCGCGGCTGCCGCCCCACGCGGCTGGGGGCCGCCCTCCGGGACGCGCTTCTCGTGGCGCAGGCTGGCGATCGGTGCGGAGCACATGCTGACGAAACCGAGAGCCCCACGGTTGCAGCCGTGGCGGAGGATGGAGACTTGTTGTTCACAATGTCGCGCGAGGACACCTCCCAGAGGGCTGAAGCTGATGCCGAGGCTGGAGGCACTCTGATCACCAGCTCGTCCGAGGTTGAAGCCCGTGCAGCGGAGCTGCCAGCTGAGAAGTTCGCCGCCGCAGAGGCCGCGATGGCGGCAGCGCAGGTGGCGGCGCCCACGCCCCTCAGCAGCTCGGCGTCGGAGTTCGTCCCGTTCAGCCCGCCGTTCCAGGAGTCGACGGTCGAGGACGGGGGGATCGCAGCTGCGGCGCCTTGGGAGAGGAGCGAAACCCGAGCACGGCTGTTTCGGGATGCTGACCTCCTTCGAGGCGCTGGAGCACAGAGAGGCGCCGTGCCGACTGGCCCACAGATCAACTGGGCAACCATAGGCGACAGCGGAGCGTTCCCGAGTGCATCGTCGGCATCGCCACCCACAGGTGAGTGCCCGCAGTCGTGAAGGGCAGCCCCGCGGCGTTCGGGCGCGGCTCGAAATGTTCGTGCAGCGGAGGGCTCTTCACTCCCACATGCTGTTTGTATCGTGCCTGTTGGGTAGTGCAAGTAGCCTGTCTCGAGCAATGGCTTGAGCGGTGGGTTTTATATAAGGATGTTGCTTCGCAACTGTTCCGATTCCGATTCCTCCCCCTCCCCCTCCTCCTCCTCCTCCTCCTCCTTCTCCTCCTCCTCCTCCTCACCGCCTCCTCCTCCTCCTCCTCCTCCCCCTCCTCCTCTTGCTCCTCCTTCTCCCTCTCCACCTCCCCCTCCTCCAACTTTTCCTCCTCCTCCTCTTTCTCCTCCTCCTCCTCCTCCTCCCCCTCCTCCTCTGCGTCTTGGAGTTTCGGGCCCTCTTCCCCAGAAACCTGAGGCGCACTGGATATGCATTAAGATCTGGCCCCCCAGAGGCTCGGTCTTCATCCATGTCCAGTGCGCCTCGGTCTTTGCGGCGCCCCTTCCAAGAGTCCAAGACGCACTGGATGTGGATATAAGCATTGCCCGCGCCATGGCTGAGTCGTTCTGCAGGCGCAGCAGGCTGTGCCGCACTCTGGGCTCTCCAGGCGTGCTGCAGACTGTGCTGCAGTACTGCAGCACAGTCTGCGGCAGGCGTTTGGTAGTATGTTCTGGCGCGTCCTGCCGTTTTTCTCGCTGACTCGGACCAGGTGACCTTGGAGTAAAAAAGTGTGTGTGTGTGTGTGTGTGTGTAGCGCCCGCGGGTCCCAGCCATGGCGGCGACAGCTGACCGTTCGCGCGTCAAAGCGCGGCCGTCAGCGGTCCCTTCAACCTCGAACGAAGTGTCCGAGATCATGACCGCGAGGTTCGCTGCCAGAAAGTCATGTGTTCATGTAGACAACCGGTGCTTACACAGGTGCAGTGCGCTGGCGGGCACCGCTTCGTAGGTCTAGCGGTGGCTCACCGCTTCGGTAGAAACCTATGATATGGGGTTCATTGACCTTGTGGCCATACGCCCCTGGTTTCCTCCCAAGGGCCCTGGCTCGTCTTTGAAGGCGGCCAGGTTCCCGACCGTTTTCGAGCCCGCGTGAGCCATGACTGACGAGGGCGCCCCGAAAGGGGCAATGCTGTAAACGTCAAACTTTTGCAGTCGCACCTCGCGGCGGCGACGACGACTGCGACGACGACGCCGGGGTGCCCTCCCCTTTCAGGTTAGAGGAGGAATAATGCTGCAGAGCCACCGCACCTGCAGGCAGAATCAGCAGCAGGAGGAGGGGAAGAGGAAGGGCGGAGAGGGGAAGGGCCAAAACGGACCCACGACCCCCCACAGCCCAGACGGGGTTACCGTCAACATGGAACACGCGCCAAGAACGAGGGGCAAAGCACAGCGCCGGCCCCCCCGCGAGCGCCGCTGGCGCCGCGGCCGCCGCCAGCGCCGCGGCCGCCGCGGGTGCTGCGGGTGCTGCCGGCGGCCGCGCGCGGCGGCCCGGGCATTCCGCTGCAGCGGCGCTGAGCTTGGTTACGCCCTCGGGGCCGCGATGTTCACGGTTCACGACAACGAGAATTCTTCCATGGTGTCGCAGGCCTAGAGGTTGACACCAGCACCGATCTCGGCGGTGTCCCTCCACCGACGGAGGAAGATCCCGATCTCGGGGATGGTGGTAATATTCTGGCTTCCAAGGTGACCGAAATGCTACCTGCACCACCGAATTCTAGGACCACTTTCCCCCTGTGGAGGCAACCCCCTGTGTTGGTGTTGGTGCCAATTTCCAGGCTTCCAAGACCACCGCCTGGAGGATCAATTTTCGGGGACCTCGACAGGCGGTGGATGTGGACCTATTCGGACCCCGGGGGCCAATACATATATATATATATATATATATGTCTGTATGTATGTATGTATGTATATGTATATGTATATGTATATGTATATGTATATGTATGTGTATATATATATATATATATATGTATGTATATGTTTATGTATATATGTATGTATGTATGTATAATATCTATATATATATATATATATATATATATATATATATCCATACCCACCGCCCGCTGGGGCACCAGGGCGTCGGTTGCCAGGCGGCGGATATGGATCAATCCCCGCCTCGCAAACGAGAGCTCTTCCACCGTGTCGTTGGTGCTGCCGCCGGGCCCTCCGCGGGAGCCGGGCGGGGGCCGCGAGCCGGCGGCCCTGGCCGCCCCTCCGCGGCCGCCGCGCCCGCCCCCGCCGCCGCGCCGCCGCGGCCACCGGGCGCGGCCGCCACGACGCGCGCCGCCGAGGCCGTGCCGCTGGCGGCGCCAGGCGCCCGCCGAGGCCGCGGCGCCGCGGCCGCTGCGCGCGCGGCTGCGGCCGCCGTCGCGGCCGCCACGCGCGCCCCTGGCCGTGCCGCCGCGGCGTCAAGCGCCGCCGAGGCCGCGGCGCCGCGGCTGCTGGGGCGCCCTTCCCTGGGGCTGTCCGATTCGGCCCAGGTCCATCTTTGACGGTTCCAGGGCACGAGTAAAGGGCCAGATGTCGAAATCGAGGAAAAGGGGTCCATACTATATCATGTCCGCGGGTGTACAGCAGATGATCCCTCGGAGAGGGCGCCCGCTGCGACTCGGCCTGCTAGCGCCGCAGCACGCGCCGCGATGCGCGCCGCGCCCAGCGCTGACCGCAGGATCTAGGCGCCTTCCTGCCGGACCTTTACGGCCGGGACATCAAGATGTTCGTGCGGGACCCGGCGACCATCAGGCCGGCGCCCACGCAGCCAGCGCCGTCGCCGTCGAAGCCCCCGTGGCCGCCGTGGCCGCCGTGGCCGCCGCAGTCGTCGCTGCCGCCGTCGCCGTGGTGGTGGTGGTGGTGGTGGTGGTCGTCGTCGTGATCGCCGCCGCCGCCGCCGCCGCCGCTGCCGCCGCCGCCGCCGCCGCCGCCGTCGTCGTCGTCGTCGTCGTCGTCGTCGTCGTCGTCGTCGTCGTCGTCGTCGTCGTCGTCGTCGTCGCCGTCGTCGTCGTCGTCTTCGTCGTCGTCGTCGTCTCGTCGTCGTCGTCGTCGTCGTCGTCGTCGTCGTCGTCGTCGTCGTCGATGCTTGCGCGGGACCTGGCGACCATCAGGCGCCGCCAGCGCCGCACGCCAGCGCCGTCTCCAGGACCGAGGCCTTCGGACCTTGAGATCCGACGGCGCGGAAACATTGCAGCATCGTAGAGAATCACGACAGGAACCCCTGGGACCCCATTTTCCTGCCGCATGTCTCGTTCTGGATCGATCTGAGAGGGTCCTGGAAGCCCGGCGCTGGGCGAACGCGCCTGATGTGGCAAAATTGCGAAAAGCCCGTGCCTCAGGGTCTGCTTGGTTGATGGGCCCCCAGCAACAACCAGGGCCACTAACAGGCCAGTGCGTCGAAGGCCTTCGGGGGGCGTTTCCCAAGCGCTCTTCCTCGGCTTCGGCTCTGGGGGCCGTCATCGGATCCGGATCCGGGGCGATCGCAAGGACCCCCGCGGAAGGGGTCGGGAACCCTCGGGGCTGCGGATAGGAACCATGAGATCGGCGGATGGCAGGTGCCGAGGAGGGCGGGCCGAGTCGGCGGCAGGTGGCCTTCGGGGGGCCCTCTCGCCGCCACGGCCAGGCGCCGCTCGGAAAGCCAGGTGTGCTTGGACCCTGGGAGGGGTCCGGGACCGACTCTGAGCTGCCGTTGTCTCAACTCGCCCTCATCCTCATTCTCCTCCTCCTCCTCCTCCTCCTCCTCCTCCTCCTCCTCCTCCTCCTCCTCCTCTTGCTCCTCCTCCTCGTCGTCCTCTTCGTCGTCGTCGTCCTCCTCCTCCGCCTCCTCCTCCTCCTCCTCCTCCTCCATTCCATCTCCTTATAGATAATTTCTCTCCCTGTCGCAGCCATGGGGCCAGTTGTTAGGGCGGGCCGGTCGTTTCGCCTGAGAATTCAAAGTGACAGCAGTTTCGCAGATGGATGACGGGTCGTTTTCAAAATGTGGCTCTCGCCTCGGCACCGTGCACATTCGTTTTAGAAATTTGCAAGGGTTTCACGGATTGAGGGCGGGGCGTTTTCAAAATGTGGCTCTCGACTTAGCGCCACGCGCATTCGTATTCAAATTTCGCAAGAGTTTCACGGATTGAGGGCGGGTCGTTTTCAAAATGTGGCTCTCGCCTTATCGTGACGCGCATTCGTTGTCAAAACTTGCAAGAGTTTCGCGGATTGAGGGCGGGTCGTTTTCAAAATGTGGCTCTCGCCTTATCGTGACGCGCATTCGTCGTCAAAATTTGCAAGGGTTTCGCGGATTGAGGGCGGGTCGTTTTCAACATGTGGCTCTCGCCTTAGCGCCGTGCGTGTTGGTTTTCAAACATTGCAAGAGTTTCACGGATTGAGGGCGGGTCGTTTTCAAAATGTGGCTCTCGCCTTATCGTGACGCGCATTCTTTGTCAAATTTTGCAAGAGTTTCACGGATTTAGGGCGGGTCGTTTTCAACATGTGGCTCTCGCCTTATCGTGACGCGCATTCGTTGTCAAAATATGCAAGAGTTTCACGGATTGAATGCGCATCCTTTTCCAAAAGTGGCTCTGACCCTAGCGCCGTGCACATTCGTTTAAGCAAATTGCAGAAGTTTCACGGATTCCCATGATCAACATACCAGAGATGGTGTTTTGGAAGGATCCAGGATTATGCGGGCGCAACAGTTATGTTGATTCGCGGCGTTGAAATCCTAAAACTGACGTTCTAGCACGATTCTGGATCGTCAAGACGCAGCAATCAGGTTGATACGAGGCGTTGAAATCCCGAGGACGCTGTTTTGGCACGCTTCAGGATCTTCAAACGGTTGTCTTCCGACGAGGCAGTTCACTCAATGGCAATGAACCGTTGTAGGGGCCTGCGAAGAGGGAGCTTGGAGGGAGGGTTGATTCCAACATCGTTGATGACTCCTGGGTTTCCACTGGTCCTCCTCCTCCTCCACCTCCTCCTCCTCCTCCTCCTCCTCGTCCTCCTCCTCCTCCTCCTCCTCCCTCCTCCTCCTCCTCCTCCTCCTCTTCACCTCCTCCTCCTCCTCCTCCTCCTCCTCCTCCTCCTCCTCCTCCTCCTCCTCCTCCTCCTCCTCCTCCTCCTCCTCCAGGGGGGTGGCCGCGCGCGCGCGAGGGCGGTGAAGAGGGCGTCGCGCGCCTACAACGCGAGGGGGCTCCTGAGTGGCAGGCGCCGCGGGCTCCGCTCCCGGGGCTGGGGAGGGGGACTGGCCCAGGGGGGTGGTGTGGCGCAAGTAGGAGGAAGGAGGAGGAGAGAGAGGAGGAGGAGAGGAGGAGAGGAGGAGGAGGAGAGGAGGAGGATGAGGAGGAGGAGGAGGAGGAGGAGAGAGAGGAGAGAGGAGGAGGAGGAGGAGGAGGAGGGAGGGAAGGAGGAGGAAGGAGGAGGAGGAGGAGGAGGAGAGGAGAGGAGAGGAGGAGGAGGAGGAGCGAAGGCGGAGAGGCGGAGAGGAGGAGGAGAGAGGAGGAGAGAGGAAGGAGGGGAGAGTAGGAGGAGGAGGAGAGGAGGAGAGGAGGAGAGGAGAGGAATGGGAGGGGAGGTGAGGGGAGGGGGGGAGGGTGAGGGGAGGGAGGGGAAGGGGGAAGAGGGAGGGGAGGGGGAGGGAGGGGAGGGAGGGAGGGGGAGGGGGAGTGGGGAGGGGGGAAGGGGAGGGGGAGGGGGGACAGGTGGAGGAGGAGGAGGAGGAGGAGGAGGAGGAGGAGGAGGAGGAGGAGGAGGAGGAGGAGGAGAGGGGAGGAGGAGGAGGAAGGAGGAGGAGGAGGGAGGAGGAGGAGGGGGAGGAGAGGAGGATGAGAGGGAGGAGGAGGAGGAGGAAGGAGGATAGGAGGAGGAGGAGACGCAAACGCGGAGTGAGGCGAGCGGTTTGGCGACGGGCTCCGTTTCAAGACCAGATCGCCGCGATCCGTCGCCGAGTCGGGCGGCGCTGGCGCCACGTTTGCGCTCGCCGATCCGTCGATCTGGCGCCCGCGCGCCGGATCCACGGCCCCCTGGCATCACCGAGCGCGCTCCACTGCTCGCAGAGTGCCTGCTCGCAAGCGTCCGAACCACAAAAACACATGTCTGCATCGATGTAGTGTATCGCACGTAGATCCCCCATGGCGGATCCAGGCCATATGCGAGTAGTTTCTTTGCGAGTCGTGGAACCGCGCTTGTCTACAGTGGAGGCCCATGCCAAG